GCTCTGGCCCGATTGTGGAAGGCCATCTAATACTTCTTCCCACCCCACGCCGTCCGAGGCGGCAAAACCACCCAAACCTATTCCTTTTAGGGCCGTAACTCATGGCAATCGCGTACTTTCAAAAAACTTTCCGTCGCCGATGGCCACTTTCAGCCAAGGGAAAGGTTTGAGGCCAGGTCCCGGCTCGTTTGTTGTCAGAGGGGATCGGGGCAGGGGTGCCAGGAGGGCCAGGGGCGCCAGGGGTTTAGGGTTTGCTGTGATAGGGTGTACTGTGAAGGTTAGGTTTCGGAACAGCTCGAAAGCTTCGTGAGGTGCGAAGAGCAGCTTTGGCCCGATTGTGGAGGGCCATCTAACACCTCCCACGTCCGAGGCGGCAAAGCCACCCAAACCAATTCCTTTTAGGGTTTAGGCCTAAACTCAAGGCAACAGTCCACTTCTAAAAACTTGTTCAGTTCAAACAAATGGTATGGTGCTGGGCGGTGGATCAGGCTCTAAACCCTAAACCCGAAACCCTAGACCCTAAACCCTAAACTTTCTAAACCCTAAACCCTTGATTCCTACCACATACACTGCAAGCAACGGACGTTGCTCAGCTCGATCAGGCTTATCATCAGGCTTCTTCGTGGTTGAGGCCACTGTGCGGGGGGGGGCGGATAAGGTCTAAGGTTTAAAGCTTAGGGTTTCTGTAGTGTTTGCGTCTCCGGGCCTTCTCTTCAGCATAACGAACCTCCATGTTGACAGTGCTGCCTGGCTGGCGGACGGCTCATCCTTACGTGCCTGGGGAGCTCTTGGACCAAGGGGTTCAACTACCAAACTACCGGCGTTCGGGTTGGTATAGGGGGGAGGAAGTACCCCGAATATAGGCCCCCTAGTCAGGCCCCGAATAAGAGGGGAAACGAGGGACCTGATTCTCGCGTTCCCTCTGAAGCCTCGGCCCTTTCCCGACCTCGGCAGAGGTTCAGAGCTCGCTGTGCCGCTTCGTGCGACACGTACCTCGGAGCATCTGGCCAGCATGAACCCTAAACCCCAAACCCTAACCCCTAAACCCTAAACCCTAAACCTTCGAAACCTTCTGATGCGAGCCCTACATCCTGAAACTCTGAACCTAAACCCTGGGCCCATGGCTTGACAATGGCGGCGCGGCTTGAAAGGCCTGCCAGATGCTCTTGCGGTTTGGAGGCTTAGGGGTGTGGGGTTGAGAACTTTGTGGGTTTAGGGTTTAGGGTTTGGGGTTTAGGGTTGAGGGTTGAGGGTTGAGGGTTTAGGGTTTAGGGTTTAGGGTTTAGGGTTTAGGGTTTAGGGCTAGGCTTCGAGCTCCCTGTGCAAGCGGCCTTGCCGCTGATGGAGGAGCTTGCAGCCCCTGATATGCGAGGCCTCGGCAGGGCTTAAGGCTTCCAAGGGCTTCGGGATGCTCCGGAGATGTTTACCCTAAACCCTAAACCCTCAACCCTAAGCCCTAAACCCTGAACCTTGGGGGGGTCATATGAGCCCGGCGCGTCCCCGCCGATGTCCTGATGAAAGGCCTGCATGCAGAGTTGCCCCCAAACGCCAAAACCCCTAAACCCTAAACCCCAAAAGCTGAACCCTGGGTTGAAGACCTGGGGTCCCACTGCATCTTGAGTTCTCATTTCGGGTCTGCAGGGGCTTCACATATAGTCATGGAGCCCAGGTTTAGGGCTTAGGGTTTAGGGGTTTCAGGGTTTATGGGTTTGGGGGTTTAGAGGTTCAGGGGGTTAAGGGGTTTAGCAGTTCAGGGGTTTAGGCCTTGGGCCGACACCAGGAACCTTTGGTGAACCCTGGACCCAGCCTAAACCCCAAGTCCGAAACCCTAAACTCTAAGCCCTAAACCCCAAGCCCTCAACCCCTAAACCCTAAACCCTAACCCTAAACCCTAAACCCTAAACCCTAAACCCTAATTAAGCCGAAACCCCAACAAGTCTTGGGGAGCTTTGCGCTCAGGGCTTCTGGCCCCCAGCCTTGATCTCGGCCTCGTTCCAATTAGCAGGCCTTAGAAAGAAATGCCCCCTCCCCCTTGAGAGAGTTTAGGGTTTAGGGTTTAGGGTTTAGGGTTTAGGGTTTGGGGTTTAGGGTTTAGGGTCTAGGGTTTAGGGTTTAGGGTCTAGGGTTTAGGGTTTAGGGTTTAGGGTTTAGGGTTTAGGGTTTAGGGGTAGAGGTTCACGAATCGCCCAGACCGAAAAGTCACTCCTACATGGGTCTGAAGCGGACCGAAACCCTAAACCCTGAACCCGAAGCCCGATGATGCCCTGAGTTCAGAGCTCTAAGCCTTACATACACCTGGAATCAGCGAAGACAGACCCCTCTGCCCGGCACACCCTTAAACCCTTGAGAGGATTTAGGGTTTAGGATTTAGGGTTTAGGGTTTAGGGTTTCGGGTTTAGGATCTAGGGTTTAGGGTTTAGGGTTTGGGGTTTAGGGTTTAGGGAGGCGGGGTCCCCTTGACCCCAACCCGCCAACCCTTAAACCCTTGAGAGGGAACTGCCAAGTGCCCAGCACGCTAGCAAAGTAGAGGTCAGTACGCGGTCCTGGGTGCCAACGGCTTGACGCGGCCGAGGGTTCAGGGCTTGTGCAACTAGGGGCTCAGGGTTGAGAGGGTCTAGGGTTTAGGGTTGAAGGGTTTAGGGTCTCGAGGGTTTAGGGTTTAGGGTTGAGGGGTTTAGGGTTTAGGGTTGAGGGGTTTAGGGTTCTAAGGGTAGAAAAAGGCCTTGACCTAAGCAAGGAGAGAGCTTCGGCGCCCGAATCTTTCCCAAGCAAGTCCCTGAGCAGCCGTCCTTCCACAGATCCACCAGCAACACCTGAAGAGATGGTGTAAACCCGAAACCCTAAACCGTAAACCCTAAACCCTAAACCCTAACCCTAAACCCTAAACCCTAAACCAGCCCAAGATTGCAAGAACCCAAACTCCATTTCAGACCCAAAACCCTTGTGTAGCGTTTAGGCTGCTTTGGGTTTGCATAAGGCTTCTATAAGGTTTCTAGAAGCTTTATATCAGTCAGCGGGGGGGCTATTTTCGGGGTTCCTTCAGTTAACTCCCATAGAAGGTTGAAAGAGAACTTTCGGTTGAGGGTATGGGTTTAGGGTTTAGGGTTTAGGGTTTAGGGTTTAGGGTTTAGGGTTTAGGGTTTAGGGTTTCGGGTTTAGGGTTTAGGGGAACCCGGGGGCTGCCACGCTGGCCTTGTTCGTGCCCGTTGACCTTGGCGCGCAGCTTGGGTTTGACAATCTGGGTTTTTCGGGGCTTAGGGTTTAGGGTTTAGGGTTTAGGCGTTAGAGGGTTTAGGGTTTCGGGGTATAATAGTGATGCATAGAAATGGCAAGGACAATGGCAAGGACAAGGACAGACGGTTAGGCATCGCTGCGCGGGTGAAATTCAACACCGCACATGCGGCGCTTCTGTGTGAGAGGGAGTCCTTAGATGAAATTGTGGGCAGCAGCCTGAGACACGCCTAAAAACATGGCGCCTTTTATACAGTGCAAAAGTACATGACCGCCTCATCAATTTCCAAAGGCTGTCGCATGTCTTTCAAAGAGTCGCACATGCTCACGAAGACTCTTAAACCGGCTGATATGAGGGTTGGTCCCAATGATGAGCCCTTTGGCGTCTATTCGAACAGAACTCTTGTTGCAGTTCTACTTTGTTATGATTAATGACAACAACAATAATGGTAATAAGAAGAATATTTCACATTCAAAAAGGATTATAAATACAAACACAAAGAAACCCACCGCCCCACACCCCCCCGCCATGTGTCTGAGGCCCAAACAACTCTGCCGAAGAGCTGCCCACCCCAACTGGCCATCTCACGGGAGAGACTCGGGCCAACGGCTACGGAGCCAATGAGAATGGAAACCCTAAACCCTAAACCCTAAACCCTAAACCCTAAACCCTAAACCCTAAACCCTAACCCTAAACCCTGAACCCTAAGGATTCTAGCTTAGGAGTCCAAAACCCCTCTGCAAGTGACCCGATCCCTGGGTTCAAGGAATCAGGCCCTCTGTGTGAGTCTTCTTTGCACAAAGAGCTCAAAACCAGCAGACTCACGCCCCGACCGCTTCGGCAAATGATCCATCGAACCTCCTCTACCACTTTCCTAGCTTCGGAGGCCCGCGCATGGGGCTTGGATGCCCGCAGGGCACTCCGAAGACCGAACATATCAAACCGACCCAGATGTCCTGAACTCGAAAACCTTCCTGCCGCAAGAGTGCCATGCAGTGCAGGTCACAACACTGCTTGCCGTCTGCAACGGAAGCCCGACAAGAAACTCTCGGAACTTCTCTTGCCGAAGCCCCTCCCCTTCTTACAATGCCTACAATCCCCCCCCCCGGATGCCCAGGAGCTGTATCTAAAAATTGAGAAGCCACCGACCATCTACACACTCTGAGACTGGGATGTTTCACCCTTATACCAACGGTCCTTAATAGGGATTCTAGTACCCCCACTTATCATCCCCATTAAGGACTAGAAGTATAAGGAACCCTAAACCCTAAACCCTAAACCCTATCAGGACTAGTAGTATAAGGGGGAACATCCCAACTTCAAGATAACTTCAGTGGCAGGGTCCGCAGCGACGGCATCCCCGCTGCGGTGCTGTTTGTGCTCCGCTTTAGGGTTTAGGGTTTAGGGTTTAGGGTTTAGGGTTTAGGGTTCAGGGTTTAGGGTTTAGGGTTTAGGGTTTAGGGTTCAGGGTTTAGGGTTTAGGGTTTAAGGTTTTGGGTTTTGGGTTTTGGGTTTAGGGTTTTTTGCTCCGCTTGCCGCGAGTCCATGGGGGTGGCGCTTTGGGGCCTCCGGCGTCCTGGCACAGAGGCTTCCGCTTCCAACGCACTTTTCAAGTGCCTATCGTAAAGCTGTGCAAGACCAAAGAGACACAGCCTCTACAAGCCGGCGGCCAGAAGAATGTAACATAATTTTTCAAACGGATTTTCCGGGATTCCGGATTTTTCGTCATGTCAAAAACCTGCCGCCACCCCCTTTAGGGGTGGATGGCCTAAATGCTGAGATCGTCTGCCGCACACAGCGCCCGGTACGTGCTGTCCACGGATGCCCTTCGAGTTGCTCCTGGCATGGGGCTAGCTTAGGATGTAGGTTTTAGGGATTCTGGGTTTAGGGTTCAGGGTTTAGGGTGTAGGGTGTTTAGGGTTTAGGATTTCCGGGTTTAGGGTTGAGGGCCCCAAAGCCTAAAGTCATGTAGTCTTGTTTGACGAGGAGTTGGCTGATAGCATGCACTGCCCGATTCTGGTCCTCTTCATGTGCAACAAAAGGCTTGACCCCATGCATGCCAGATATTGCATCGAAAGCAGAAGCAAAAGGGGCTCGTAAATTCAAGGCAACGCCCCTTAAATGAACAACCACCAACAGACACCAAGAAAGAATGACACCCTATAAACCTTTAACAACAAACAAAAATTGTGTGGCCGGCATGAAACTACGAGTGCTTCGAGCCCTTGACCCAACCTGTTTCCCACGCGACTACACAACCCATGACACGCCGACACACCCCCTAAGCTGTATGTTGTGCTGTAGGGAATTCAGACATCCGTAATCCCAAACGCCCTGCAAAGGCCTTTCTAGCCGGGATGACGATCATACTTAGTGCCTTGAGTGCCTTGAAATCTGGGCCGGGCCTGCGCGGGGACCCGTGCCGAAAAGGCATCGCAGCTGCATGAAGAGGATTATCAGGAGGACGAGGAGGGGGATCAAACCAATCACTCCTTGCTGGAAGCTTACGTCAACAAGTCCGAACACCAGCCCGACGATGAAGTAGCCGTAGCTGAAAGTCACAATTCCACTGAGACCTGCCAAGATGAGCTGCAGGGACTCGGTCTGAAAGGAGGAGGCACACTTCAGCATCCGAAGAAAGACCTGAACCATGGATGGCCAAGGCATGGAAACCTATAATATGAAGGCGAACTGTAATCATAGCCACCCAATGATAGTGCAATAGCAACCCGAAGCACAACGCAAACAACAAAAACAGCAGCAACACCAACGACGACAACAACGACGACGACAGCAAGAAGAAGATAGCAACACTTGCCCTATGCTGGGGCCACAAGCTTAGGGTTTACAGTAGCTTACTGGGATTTTGTGCTTGGCTGTTCTTGGGAAGCTTAAGGTGTTACGCACGACTCCCCCGGAGATCGGGCCTTGCATGATTGCGGGATTCACTGCTACTGCTACTCCCACTCCCACTCCCACCATTCCCATTCCATTTGTGGCGTGCCTGTGTTTGCTTCAACTTTTTGCTTGGTCTCGGCTTTGTGTGCCCTGTGATGGCGCGGTTCAACCTCAGGGGGCCTCGTCCCGCAGGGTATCAAGGGTTTTGGGTCTAGGGTTTCGGGTCGAGGGCTTGGGGGTTGGGGTTTGGCAGGGTTTAGGGTAAGCTTATCAAAAGGAAGCACGCAGGCTAGACTTACACGCCCTGATACTGCCACGGCTACTCCTAATACTCTACTGCTTAGGACAATGGACGATTGCTACTTTTGCTGCGGTATGTTGCTATCATGACTACTGTTTGTGCTACCTTTCTTTGCGTGCTCGGGAGCAGGGTAGAAGACAGGCAAGATCAGCAAAATCGTGGCGAGCCAGCCCAGAACCACCGGCAGGACGTAGCTCTCGAAGGATTGAAAACCGTTGTGGGATATGCATTCAGCATCGCATTGGAGAATGTCGGTCGAGGAGTAAAAGATCATGGGCAAGGACGCTACCAGACACATTCTGTACGGTACATGCAGCTGGTCTCCAACACTTTCCATGACTGCAAAGCGGAGTGGCCCGCGAATGTAGCTGTTAAACGCGTCTAGCGCTTGTTCATCAGTCTGAGTATAGACCATACTGTCCTGCGTTGTCCACGGCAGGTAAGCAGCTTCCACGCGGTCGCTTGGCGACGGCGAGTGCACATTCTCTGTTACAGTGGACGATGTTGCCAGAACCACAACTTCTTTCTCGTCGCGCGATCCAAAAAGTTGCTGGATTTGCTGGTTCACCAGAGCCCTATCAGCTTCCACTGTGCACTGAGCAGCCCGGCAGTCGAAGCTTGCCATTTGATCGAGCAGCAAGGCATGGCTCCTTAACTTGGCCCTGCAGGTGACTGTCCATGGAATGGATGCTAGAACGCCCAAGATGGTGCCAAACAGCAGATTGAAGATTCCCACAGTGACAAGAGGACCGAATGCGGAGCCCAATATGGCAGAGAACGTCGGCGTGGAAGTGAAGAGGTCCAAAGGTGCGACGTGGGCAAGGATGTACCAACTTGTAGCAACCAGCAGGTCCAGCAAGAGTGCTGACAGCAGCCAGGGCGCCAGCCAAAGTGGTAAGAAATGCACCTGGCCGGAACGAGACGCTGGAGACTTAAGACTTTAGCTTTCTGGTTTAGGCTTTATGATTAGGGTTTAGGGTTTTACCTTTGGGGTTCAGGTTCGAGGCTTTGGGACTTTAACGATTAGGGTTTAAGGTTTACGGCTTTAGCTGTGGGGTTTAGGCTCGAGGTTTTGGGACTCGGGCTTCAGCTTTACGACTAGGGTTCAGGGTTTAGGGCTTCTAGCTTGTGGGTGCGAAAACATCGGAGAAAAAAAAGAGAAAAAAAACAAAAAAAAAAAAAAAACACGATTTTGGATGTTGGGTGCCAAGCCCTGCGGCCACAAAAGTCACAGGGAACCACTTGCAAAACCCTACTTTCCGCGAGGCGAGTAGTTTTGCAGACGTTGATTTTGGTATCAACACTACGCAAAATCCCCAACGCACGGCGGTTTAGGTGTGCAACACCACAATAGTAAAGTTGCACCAGGAATAACACGAATAGCACGTACTAGGTCCCGCACAAGCATCAGAACCCGGTACGACGAACACGACCAGTATTACTTCTCCCACTCTCAACGTCCACCAATGCTACTTCCTACTTGCTCGTCCTCCTAGGTAGTTCTACAAGGTCCGGGTCTTCGGCGAGCATTGTTCTCAGGCTTCCAGTCTGCTGAAATCCCTACAGAGTGGCCGCAACCTTTGCAAGTTTTGGCCCAGTTTTTGTCCCAAACACATGGCCGCGTGCCAACACCTGTGCGTCTTTCACGCCTCAAAACCGATTTGGTCAAAAAACATTCTGAGCATTTGCGTTGAACAACCTAACGGTCCAAGCCGCGCAGCAGTTTTTGCACCTCCTGCATGCCACAACCCTAAAACCGAAGCTCTATGCCACAACCCTAACTAAAACCGAAGCTCTACGTCCTGAATCCGAAACCCTAAGCACTACAAACACGAACTTCCAACTCCTAAGCAACCCTACGCCAAGTGAGCTTGCACCTTCTCTGCGCCGCCGTGCTTCGCAAAGGTAGCCAACTCTAGCTGGCACCAAAGTCTTTGGAAGTAGTCGTCGTCCCACAACCTGTGGCTTAGACCCTTTCACTCCGTGATACCGTTTACTATTTAAACTGCGTAAGATGGTGCGATGCAATAAAGTAGGCTGCTGTTTCGAACTCCCTGGAAAACCAAACCCTCCACCCTGACAATGTGCAGCTATTGAGAACCACGAGGCAAATTGCAGCAGGAGTGTTGTTTTGGTTCCTCTACTGAGAACTTTCCGAAATGTGAGATTGCATGGCTTGGGTTCTGCCCTAGCATGGCGCATGCTGTGCGTGGAATCCTCTCAAGACCTGCGGCCAGGCAGCACAAGCATCGAGGAAGACCGTGCGACGAAAACGGGGAGTGCCCGGATCTGACGTTCTTTGAAATTGTGGTCTGTCTGGTGGATGCATGCCCGGTCCACCCACATCGAAGTCGGTTTAAAATGATGTACAACATGCTGGCCGAAGAAGAAGACGACGAAGAAAACCGCCATTGGGACGTAGACCAAGATGGGCATCAACCTTTGACAGAGACACACAGAGGAGTCTGAACATACCACGCCGAGATTATGGGCAAACAGTACTCAATTCTCCAGCCGAGCCAGCTCTTCCGTCAAGTGACAAGAGGTTGCCCCCGAGCTTGGCGGCGCCTCCGGCAGATGCGATCATGCCGGTAGTGGCCAGCACCCAGGTGGCCATGGAGCAGAGCTGAGCTGCTGTCAGGTTCAGGTAGAGGCACAAGGCGAGGTACTTCGCCCAGCGAGCAGAACCCCAGCGATGGCTCAGGAAGACCTGCAGCCAGCAAGAGTGAAACCGAAGCGACGTCAAAGTCGAAGTTGCAGGAAGCCCGAACACTGTTGTTGCTACCGCGTCTAGCAATCTCTGCAGATACCAAAAAAAGCGAAAGCTCACGTGCTTCCTCTGCTATCTCAGGTCGGATCTTTCGTGCCAAGCTGAACTTCAAACGTGTTTATGCATGTCCTGCTGGTATCCATCTTCCATGAATACCGTGCGACACTCGAAGCGCTATGCCAAAAAGACCTGCACGTCTGCTTCAAGGCCTAGTCTGCTCCGATTCGTGCCGTGGCGCATCTACGCCCTCAGCGCGGGAAGTCGATTCGAAGATGCTCGCTCCAGCCGCAAGCACCTGCTGGCACACGGAACCAGAGACCCGAAAGGTCAGCCTGAGGTTTTGTCTTCTACCTGGGCCTTGAAACATTGAAACGCCGGCCCGAAACCCTTAAGCCCTTCAGGGTTTGAAAAACCAGGAGCCTTCCTGGGGGATGGAAGTCAAGGTGCTGGAAACATTCGTTGGGACGAACGCGCTTCGGGTGCTGAACGCTGACACGGGCTTCAGGAACTTGAAATAGTTTTAGGGCCCTCTCTACATGCAGTTTCAGAGCATGTGCACGTGGATTTCTCGCAGTGCAAATCATCAAAAACCTTTGCCTTGGGCTGTACCTGTGGTTTTCAGGCCCCCGACGCCCCCTGCAAAATAAGGCTGTGGGGCACTGTGAACCTTTGGATCAATCATATTTCACTGGTCGGCATTCTAGTAGACAGCTCGATCCTTGGGACAAAGATCCCAAACCCTAAACCCTAAACCCTAAACCCTAAATGCGGGCATCTACGCCCGAAACCCTCGACCGTGAAGGCCTTCTGCAGACATATCTTGGGCCTAAACCCTAAACCCTAAACCCTCAACCCTCAACCCTAAACCCTAAACCCTAAACCCTAAACCCCTAACCCTAAACCCAAACCCTAGACCCTAAACGCCCTAAACCCCAAACTCTAAAAAACCAGTTACAACCAGGGCACCTCTTGCTTGGTCGGAATCTTTTCCGGGCGGAAGCCGCCGGCACCCAGGAGGCCTAGAGGAGCTGAAGCCTTTATTGGTTGAGAGTTTAGGGTTGAGGGTTTTGGGTTTCGGGTCTAGGGTTTAGGGTCTAGGGTTGAGGGCATGGGGTTTAGGGTTTCGGGTTTAGAGTTTAGGGTTTAGGATTTCAGGTTTAGGGTTTAGGGTTTAGGGTTTAGGGTTTAGGGTTTAGGGTTTAGAGTTTAGCCTCCCTGAGGTTTTGAACCCTTAGGGAAGTTATCATTTGAGTGCGGGGTTAAGATTTGGGGTTCAGAGTCTGTGTGTTGCACTGCTACACCCTCCAAAATGCAACCTCATCTCTGGCCCGAAACCCTAACCCGAAGCGCCTAAACCCTAAACCCTAAGCCCTCCAAACCCTACACCCTAAACTCCGCAACCCCAGGACCCTAAAAGCCTGAAAGCCGAAACCTTAAGCCCCTTGTTCTTCAAAGGGAATGAGGGAATGAGGGCCCTCTATCATCCCTGAAAGGGTATATACAAGGCCCTCATTCCCTCATTCCCTGCTAAGAACCAGGACCCTAAACCCTAAACCCTAAACCCTGAACCCCAAACCCTAAACCCTAAACCCTTACTAAGAGCCAGGGGGTTCAAACGGTCCCGGCCTGGCAATCCTTGCAGGAAGATGGCCCCGCGCTTGGCCAGGATCCTCGGAGGGATTAGGGTTTAGGGTTTAGGGTTTAGGGTTTAGGGTTTAGGGTTTAGGGTTTAGGGTTTAGGGTTTAGGGTTTAGGGTTTAGGGTTTAGGGTTTAGGGTTTAGGGTCAACCAACAGCCTCAAAATATGAGGCTTTAGGACCATGGGGCCATCGTACACGCACGCACACACACACAGACCCTTTGCGGAAGTACTTTGGCGACCCAACGAGCACATGAAAATTTGGGGTCCTCGTATTTGTCCTTACAACGACGAATCTGCTTCCTAGCATCCACTGATACTGACGGGAACTGACATGGGCCTGTCTCTTGTTTCGACTTCAGCCCCTCCTGTGCGTACTCTGCACAGCCACTGAGGCAGCAGCCCCCAAGAAATAGAGTTTAAGGTTTAGTGTGTAAGTATCCAAAACCATGGCTTGTCCAAAAAAACGAAGCAGGCAGAACTGCAGAACCCAACTTCCGAGAATTGCGGTGCTTGAGCTGATCCTTCAGCCCAAGAACTGTGGCGCCGTGGTGGCACGGAAGAGGCCCTCCGCTCGCACATCGTCGAATGACTCCGGTCGACGGAGGCGGGCCATGTCCGACACTTCGAAGAGGGCCCTCTGTTGGTTTTAAGGCTTTAGGGTTTAGGGTTTAGGGTTTAGGGTTTAGGGTTTAGGGTTTAGGGTTTAGGGTTCCTTTTAGAGGACTTCCAAGTGTGTTCAGGCTTTTGGGGAGGCTTTTTGGGCAGCTTTGATCGAACACTGGTTCCCGGCTCTGTTTCTCAGCAGCGGCCTGTCCTGTCGTGTTTGGGGCGGCTGGTGGGATGACGTGATTGGCATGATGGCAGGGTGCACCGCTGAAATATGACGGTTGAGCAAACACAAGGCCCTCTGTCGGACTGGCAAGCACCACGTGTCGTGTTAACGGTAGCTATGGCAGGACTCTCCCGTCACATGCTGCCGCATCAGTCGCATCTTCCTGCGATGAGCCGCCTGTAAGCAATCTTCGTAAAACTATTCAATGTTGACAAGAAAACCTTGCATACGCCGCACCTCAGTACAGTGATATCCCGAACTCCTAACGGTAACGGAGGCAAGCACTGTGTATATCAATAGTCACGATAAGTTTCGCCTCACATTCTTCTGTCATGTGTGTTACAGAAGGTTTTACAGTTTTGCTGATCCTAAGGATGTCAAGCTATTTTTGTTGTTAGATTTGATGCACCCGTACCGTGAAGCTAAGACATGAGGACGGTTTCGTTCCGTTGTTTCTTCTTTTTTTGTCAGTTTTCTTCTTTGCCGGTTTTGCGACAAGAGCATCTACTACTACAGTCTATGATTTTCTTCTGTTTTGCATTGCTACGCAGTCGTTTTGTATCTAGGAGTTGTACCTTACTTAAAGATTGACCTTGAATGAATCAGCCTGGTCTGGCTTAAGGGAGCTTAAGAGAGGCTTGAGGTGTTTGAAGGGTTGGAGAACGAGGCGAGCGAGCGCACAATGATAGTATGTCCCCCATGTGCATTCCAGGCTCACCAACATTCACAGAACTGACCTACTCCAAAGTCAACCCCAGCACGTCAACTTGTGACACGCAACCGACAGTGCCTGTTCATGTGAGGCGGAGCTCCCCTGAAGGCCCAAGCTTGCAAACTTTCAACACCTCCTCAGTTTGCATGTTTGGGCTTTGAGGGGAGCTCCACCTCACATGGAACATGCACTGTCGGTATCACAAATGCTCAGGCGTGCAAACAGAAGGGATTCTTGGGTTTGGGGAAGGCTTGGTCGACGGAAAGGAAAACAAGCGCTTTGTAAATCCTGAGGCTTGGGATCTTGCCCGGTTGGACCCCCTGGATCGAGATGGCGTTTGTCGGCTGTTGCGGCTGCATTGCAGCTCGAGCAATGGGGAGATATTCTGATGATGGGCTGTTAAGACTATGTAAATGCCTTTTATACGCCGCCCCAGCACGAGAGACTCGACCAGGAGCAGCTCGCCATGTGGAGGAGTGACTTTGCTTTGCGGGGGTTCTTCTGCTTTGGATCGTCCGGATGCGCCTGGCCTCCTTTCCATCACCTGTCGGCAACCCTCGCACATGACTTGCTTTGAGGAGCTTCAGCTGCGCACACTTCTCCTGCATGCCGGGCTGGCACCAAGCGTCCTGCTCGCCGACATACGCCAGCAAGTCCAAGGTGCCGCGTGGGGGTCAAGTCCCGCGTCCTGAAGCCCAGGGCACATCAAGGCGCCTGGGCACCAAGACAACAGGGTAAAGGTGAGCCCGGTGCGAAATCACAGGAGCTCCACTTCCGAACAGGAAAGTCTCCTGCTCTTCCACCGTCTGCCAAGTGATGCCCCACCGTCGTAGCTCAGCTTGAAGTGTCTCATGCCACCGAGCTCCTCCAACAGCTGCGCGGCAGCCTGCGCCACTGCCAAACCAGGAGCCCATGTCGTGGCCGGAGTTTCCTCGGGCACCTCGTTCTCGTAAATCTGGCTTGCCATGAGCACACCGTGGCGCACACTGAAATAGATGATGTGCTTGAGGTCGCAGCGGGAGCAACGCGCAAAATGCCCACATTGGTCGGCCGTCCACAGCAAGTTCCCACACCGATGGAGACACCGTACGCTTGTTGTTGAGAAGGTCGAGGGGCCGCAGCACAAGGAACACAACGCTTGCCTTCCAACTGTCGCTCGGGGTTTTAAGCAGCCTGGTTCTACCTCGTCCCCGAGCAGCAAAGAGTCTGGCAGCCTTCCTTTTTGAGTTGGTCGCCCCTTTACCACATCAGCGGCCCAGTGGGCAGGTCTTTGCCAAATCAGTGAAACGGCGCATTCAAACCTCGGTGGCGAGAGCGGCAACGACAAGAAAAACAAACCGAACAAACACAACAACGAAGCAGAAACACGCCCTATCAAAGGTGAAGCAACGCCATCACTCTCAGAAGTCGAAGAAGTCGTGATAGTGCAGCGCAAAAAACACAGATGTGGTTGCACTCTTTCCGAGTAGGGGCGTCATCCGCAAAATGAGAGACGTGTTGCAGCTTGTGGCTTTTATACAGCGATGCCAGATAACAACATCTCCTTACCGCTTGTTCCAAATTGGGTTTGAACCCAAAAGCCCAAAAGCCACAACATGAAGAATCACAAAGCACATAGCAGGCGCAGCATGTCCCTCACATTTTTCATCAGTGGGCGAACCAATGATGGCATCCAATCATGTGCCGGTGCACACAACACGGTGCACATACATTGCACATGTGTCTCACCATACCCTAGCGAACCTCAAGCCCCCTTTGAGGGCGAGGTAACTGTACATGCAACACTAACATGATTGCCGATGGCACACAGGGAGTTGCAGCCGCTTCAGCGGGCCCTGTTTTTGTGATGCCCTGGGTGGGTTGGGCGGGTCAAAATTTTCGCACTGAGCTGTGGAGCCAGCGCTGCACACACAGATCTTCAGCAAACGAAGTTTGCAAATTGTCGTTCGCAATACCAAGCCTGACAAGCATCAGAAACTTTTGGGTTACAAACCAAGAACAAACGGCACACCGTTTTTCGAAGAGACATTTTGGAAGCAACCGGTAAAACACCATTCGCTCGCGAACAGTAAGCTTACCGCTTGTTCCAAATTGGGTTTGAACCCAAAAGCCCAAAAGCCACAACATGAAGAATCACAAAGCACATAGCAGGCGCAGCATGTCCCTCACATTTTTCATCAGTGGGCGAACCAATGATGGCATCCAATCATGTGCCGGTGCACACAACACGGTGCACATACATTGCACATGTGTCTCACCATACCCTAGCGAACCTCAAGCCCCCTTATTAGCCGACAGTCCAAGGCAGATGGCATCCAGGTGCTCTGACACGTCGGAACACGGGACACTGATGCCACCCCACATCAAGTGCTGGGACACCAGTCTTCACGGGTGATCTGCGCAGTTCGACGGGGAAGGGACACGCGAGAACCAAGGGATGAACTCGCACCCCACTTCCAAGCCCACAAACATTGTAAGCAGATTTTTCACTATTGGGGACCTGCCCCGACAAGAAATCAAAATATCCCTAACCGCATTGTTGTCGATGAAAGCCACAACAGGTGAGTGCGCAACCCTTTTGCCCCAAAGGCGGAACGCAAGCAGCACCGCAACAAACTCCGCTTCCATTATAATTGTGCCCTTGTTAAGCTCACCTAGGAGCTTGCGGGCATCACTGCCAAGGGCGTGAGAGAAACCAGCAACCAACACACCCTTGTCATCAAACAGGAGACCGCCCACGCCACAAGGCAGTACGGGGTCGTCTTTCGAGTAGGATGCATCAGTGAAGACATACCAGGTTTGCTGCTTGCTAACCTGGACTAGTCGAGGACGACCGCTTTCCAACATGTCGACAAGAGAGCTGAAGGTGTCGATGCACTCAGCCGGCAGATCGGGAGGGGCACAACCGTGGGCATACTCCGAGAGCTGTTGCAAGCAAAATTTGCTCTGGCGTCCAAACAGCTGACCACTTGCAAACTGAAGCTTTCCTCTCAGCTTGAGTGCTTGAGGCACACTCATGCGCCGGTCCTTCTGGGCCTGCTTCATTGTCTCAACAAGGAGATGAACTCTCTTCTCCGTATTGCAAATAGTCACACGACCCAAGTGGGCACTTGATAGCACTATGTCAACCCCTAATGCACAAAAGGCCTCAGCAAACGGTACATCCTTCTTTCCACCCTGGGCCAGGTCCCATCCCAACAGGGTGAAGAGCAAGGTGATTGTTTGGTGCATATTGGCCACCTGTGTGCCTTTAGCAACCGACACGAAGTCATCGAAGTAGTGGGACCAGCAAAGGGCGAAAAAGAATGCACCAAGGTGCCATATCGAATTAACGGTTCTCAGAAAAGTCGACACCGACTTGACAGCCCCGAAAGGGAGGGCATGTAGCTGGAACACTACTACCCTCTTCAGGTCAGGATCCCACAGCCCGATGTACGAGGCCCAGGCCCCTGTAGGGTCCAGAGCCAGCTGCCTGTAGGCACTGACCAGGTCATAGAACCTTCCCTTGAGACTACAACCTGGCTGCACTCGCATCAGAGACAGGCACATACCTGCCATAACGTCAACGGTCTGGGGGCGCACAGTCTCCAATGTCTCGACGGAGCTATTGATTCCTGACCCTGAGAAGTCGTCAATCAACCTGATTTTCACATCCTGCTCGACCCCGAACCTTCGAGACACGATGGCATCAGGTGGCAGCTGGTCCACCTCGATGGGACCTGACAACCAGCCCCTATCGCGCTCCTCAAGGGTTTTCGTTTGGACCTCGCGATCGAGGGACTCCCCCTGGGACTTGATAGTGGACAACAGGGCTGCCCTAGAGGTGGGGGCATCTCTTTTGAGTTGCTCGACCGTGACCGTCGCCGGCTTGAACTTCGGGGCAAACACACCTGTATCAGGCACCGGGCCTCCCAGGTTAGTACCTGAGATCACCTCATCGAAGATGGAAACATCGTCATAGGAAGCCTCAATCATCATTGCCTTCCACAAGAGGAGACGCTTAGGCTTGAGGATCGTCGAGACCTGTTTGTGCATAGATGCCTTCAGTGCGTCTTCCTCACTTCTGAGG